TATCATATTAATCCCTTTCTCTTTTCATTTAACATAAGAATTCAGGCATAACTGTGTTTCATAAAAAAAAAAAAAGCTGCAGTTAACACTTTAAATCTCAAGTATGTGGCTCCTAAAATATTTTAAAATATATGTAATCTTTATTATTTTTCACTGAAGATATAATATCTGAAACTTTTCTAGAGTCTCTGACCTAAAATACTTAGATTTATCATTAAGGCTTTCCTGATGGCTCTAAACCAGATTTCCTAAACAGCAATTTAGCGTGGATTCCATCAGGAAAATCGGCCAAAACAATTAATCTGAAACAACCAACGTTGGAGTACGTAATTGTTGCATTCAAAAAACAGTATATATGCAATTATTGGAAAGATTTTTTAAAAAGTAATGTAAATAAATACTGTGGGCAATTAGTTTCTCAACCCTGCTGGGAGTGTTCTCAAAATCCAGCTGGGATCGCTAAACCTCAAAACGTGCTGACTGCAGCGTGGCTATAATAGATTTAAGAGATGAATTAACATATTAACCAAGTACTTTCATTGAATTGCTACACTAAGAAGCAAAGTATTTGTGTTTTAATTACGCAGATCATAAAGATGGCAAGATGGTTATGGTACTAACAGAGTAATGTCCTTTGAAAATAACATTTGTTCAGTATCACTAAAATAAAAAGCATGAGGTTTTGTTACTGAAAATAAATCTATATGTAATGATGCTTTTCTTCACCCATTCTCAGAAGTTGCTATTGTACCACCTGTGCTCCTGCTGAGATGTTAATGCCAGTTCATAAACCTCTTGGCAACACAGTAATTAACACCTTCCTCCTACTGGTACCAGGTCAAAAGCATATTGATTTGGGCTTTCCACAGCAGGGATGCGTGTTAAAACTTTACTCAACAAACAAAACTTGGAGAGTGTGTGTTATGTGTTTGTATGTTTCAATTGTGTTTTTGACATACAATGACAATGTATGACCTCATCTAAAAAGAATTCTTATGATGATGGAGAGTAACAAAAAGTTATAAATTAATATCGATAGTTACATTGTTCTTAACAGTGCCAGGAGCAATATTCGTCAAAACCTACTTATGAATGGAGTTTTCTAACTGTGGGAAATTTTTAAGACTTCTCCAGGATGATTTACTTTCAATACAGAAATGTTAGGAGATAACTTTGTTAATCCTTGTTAAGGTTTTAGAGTTCACCATCGTAACTAATATAAAGTAAGACATGTATGGTTCAGCTGGCTGGGTCTGGTAGGTAGAGGTCATGGTAGACAAGAATTGATTAGACAAAGGGCTAGACAAATTGATTATACAAAGAAATACAGGTAGGACCTGAAAAGAAGGCAGAATCTAGAACCCAGGCAGGGAGGAAGAGGTGGCTATGGTGGATTAAGAGGTACATAAACACAAATCAACAAAAAGAAGAGAATTATCAGGCAAATGAGGAAGATGCCAACCTAACCTCTAGCACTGGCCCTAAGGATGTTGGTTCTGGCCTAATATTGTGTTCTGATCAGAATCAGGGAGTTCCACCCACAATGTATGGCTAAGGCAGTTCAGAGTCCTTAGGGGAATTCTGCTTCTGGAATGGAGAGATTTTTCTCAAAGCCCTAGAGAGAAAGCTTGACTCTTTAGGGAATCGTATATCTTTCTAGAGGCTCCAAGAATCAGGAATCAAGCTTTCAGATCAGATATCTCCTAGGCTATAAGAAAATGAAACCATCTCTGCACCCATTGGATTTGAAGATCCATGTAACGTACTTTTCCAGTGTTCATACAGACACCAAAGGTGGAAACAATCTAGGAAGAAAGGAGAATATGCCAAAAAGGATGGAGGAAGGTTACCAGTTGAGTAAGTCAAATTATAAAACAAAAGCTTTTACCGTAACAGATGAGACCTGCAGGACAGTGGTGAGGAGCCCTACTGTAAGACAGATGGGCCGTGGTTTGAGTGATATTAGGGGAGATGTGAATCTCTCCAATCTGGAAAATGGAGGTTCTGCTAAACAACAGAAGTTAACTTCTGTGCTGTGCGTGCTCGGTATTCCAAAGTAGCAGGGTTGGATTACTTTAGTTCATGCACTGGTTGTTGCTTTAATCTACCACAGTAGGAACAGATGAAGGTCTGGTGTGAGGAAACTAATAGCATATTTAAAGCAGAGTGGTCTAGACTAGGTTAAAGCATGAGAAACTACATTTTTTAATTTCTTAAGGACAGAAAGAGAAGCCAGTTATTTTATTGACACCTTGAGAATCAATGGAATTAGAAAATTTGATTTTTTTCTCTCTAAATATAGCCAGTTGAAGAGCATGCAGACCAACTGGTCAAAACAGGATTTCCAAAATCAGAATCCAGACTAAGGGCCTAAACCTGAGCAAGTCAGTACAGCACAGGTCATATGAGTCTAACATAAGTTACATGCTCCAGAACACAACGGAGACTGAGCAAGAACGAACTAATAACCAACAGCCAAGTGACTGCATGACATGGAAGAATCTCTAAAGCCAAGTGAGGGTACCTGGACTTGATCCTGATTATTCTAGTCCAAGAGCCATTAACTTGGGGTCTATGGATCCAGAAAACATAGAAGGGCCTTAAGCAGTCCATGAACTCTCTGAAATTATATGCAGAATGTCATGTACATGTACAATTTGGCAAGGCGACTCTTTGTTCAGATGCTCAAAGAAATTCAAGATTCGTCAAAGACGAGTTTGGGCAACGTAGTTCGATGTGCTTGGAAGCTGTCACAGATACAGGTAGGAACTCCAAGACAGAATTAGAAACAATTGAAAAGCAAATACAGAGGCAGCTGAAACATCAATCCTAAGTGAGATTGCTCAGGGGGAGTTAAAAGAGAGCAAGACAGAGAAGAGGAAGGCAAGTTAAACACGGAAAGGACACGCAGAGGAGAGGGAGTAAGTGATGATGAAGGGATGGTCTGACAATGGGGAGGACAGTCAGCAGACAGGGGTTTGGGAGGCCGAGGGATGAAGAGTTTTGAGGAGGAGAGGGCAATCGACAGTGAGAAACGCCACACAGAGATCAAGGGAAAAGGCACTGAAAATGTGTCTGTAGGATTTAGGAGCTGGGAGGTCAACATCCAATTCTACAAGAACAGTTTTGGGAGAATGTTGGGAACAGAAGTCACCATGGAGACGAGAGGGAGAGGTGGGGTTGTTTAAAACCGACTAGTCTGTCAGAGAGGTTGACTGAGAAGAAAAGGAGAAAAAGAGAAGCCTGGGTAAGAGAGGGAGAAACAAACTTCCACACATCGCCCCTGGTCAACAAACTAGTATGGGCCTCTCAGAATGCTCCAAACTTCGGTCAACTGCCCCCGATATAAGCGGTGGGATCAGGGAAGATAGAACTTTGGTGTTGCTACACCACGTCAGAGGGAGGTCTCTGCCTCACCCAAAACTGGGCTAGAGGATTCCACTGCCACCTCAGCTGACAGGGAAAACAGGCGGA